GGCTTTTGGAGGAACTGAGATATGACAGGAGATGAGCATGTTTGAGACCCACAGAACATAAAGTCATTTTAACCTCCATCCAATTCACTGCTGATGTTGTTTTTTTCAATATTTCCACACAGGATGCATTATTTGCCATTTTACTTCGCTGTGATTTGCATCAGGCTAAGACTGACACTGCAAGCTGGGAGACCACTTCTGGGGATCATCAGAGGATCCAGAACTTTTAGATACATTCACACAAATAACCCCAATGTGCTGCTGACACAAGTACCTGTCCAATATATGAAGGAAAAAAATGATGTCTTTAAGAAGTCATGAGAGATTCAACCACTGCTCCCTTCCCATTGACACAGTGATGCTCACAGGAACCCCCAGCCTAAGTGATGTTTACCCACCTATTTTCAGTGCTGCAAAACTCAAATGGTTTCTAATCACAGGAAACACAAAGCACAGAATAAATCATAACAGAAGAGGTCCTCTGTCTTGATCTAAATCTGCTCAAACCTCCCAATAGCCAAAGAGATGAGAAAACAACAGCCAGGTTGGCTGCAGCCATTTGAAACAGGTAAGTCAGCACCCAGTCCCAGCCAAGCCAAGAACTCAGATTGCCCAACAATTCCAAAGCTAAACCTCTCCCAGAGCAATTTATTTGTTGATTAAATACAGCAATTTTTGTCACACCACCCAGATTTCCTGCTTGTAAAAACAGAAGATGTGTTTGAGCAAGCAGGAGATTTCTTCAATACAGTTAAAAAATGGAGAGTAATAAAAAATAAATCCACCAAGTTGCTCAATAAACTGAAACTTCAGTCTCTTCCAGGAAACGTTCCCAGCTCGGAGAGAAGGCTAGTGCATGCTAAAATTTAAAAAGCATTTTGCTGCAGCATTCAGCCTTTAAAATTAAACCCAACAGCTTCTCTCTGTTATTTAAATGATCTCCTCCAGCTCAGAAGGGCTATGACCACGGCCTAAGTTACTTAACTCACATTTCTATTGACTGACTTGCATAAAAATAAGCCACATTAATGACTGAGCTGACATTTGGTATACATCACCACAAAACTCATTTCAGATCAAACATCATCCATACAACCTAAAAATATTTCCAGCCTTCTCACATCCAAGAAAAGGATTTTCAGATTTACATTATCCTCACAAACTTTGGTCTTCTGAAGCACCAGCGGTGCAGAATCAAAGGATTAAAAGAACACCAGGATTTTTATTTTATTTTGCCTCTGACTGAGTGTGTTATGTGCCAGGAGCAAGTTAACCTGTAACTGCAGTTTAACCAGCACCGTTTCCTCGTTATGTGCCAAGGATTTATGCACCCACAGACATGGGATTCCTCTCTAGGGATCAACACCGGTCACCCAGAGCAGCTTTGTGGCTCCTCTGGCCCAAGAGATCTCCAAGCACCCACTTGTTGCCTTTGAAACACTGGATTGGACCTCAATTTTTTAATAATTTACACAGCAGCCTCAACAAGCAGGAACTGTGTCTCTTCCCATTAAAGGAGCAGGCTCGGCAGCGACCGGAGCAGCTTCCAAAAGACTTAATCCAGATCTTCCAGGGTACAACACAAATTGGTTTATCCATCCGTGCACCCTCCAGAGGCCTCTCGGGGAGGCAGGACACACACACACACAGCCCCGGGTGTCACCTCCTGCACGGGGAAGGAACTTTCAAAGTTGAATGAAATATTTGCCAGGTGAGAGAGTAAGTCAGGGGGAAGGAGGGAAAATAATGAAACATACTTTAAAAAAAAAAAAATAAAAAGGCAAAAGCAACTAAATTAATGTTTTCTCGTTAGGAACTGAGTTCTCCTCCTCGGCACCCGGGAGGCAGGGGTGGGGGGGTTGTTAATTAAAGTGAAGTAAGGCAAATTATGAAAGGCTTTGCTGCAAAGCCAGTCTGTGGGAGAGGTGGCCCTGGGAATCCTCCTGGTGAAGAGGAGACCCCAGGACGGGGCAGGGTGGTGTGGCTGGAAGAAGGGGGGGACACGGGAACAACCCCATGAGGGAAGGTGCAGAAGAGCCCCCAGGAAGGAGCAGGGTGCCCTGGTCTGCTATAGGGGGGTGGAGAAGAGACCCCAGGAAAGGGCTGGGAGGGGGCAAAGGGTGTCACAGGGACCCCCCCACACACAAGGAGGGTGCAGAAGAGACCCCATGGAGGAGCACTGTGCAGGGGGGTATCACAGAGAACCCCCCAAGTTGGGAACAGCACAGAAGAGACCCCACTGAAGGGTCAGGGTGTGTGGGGGGGGTGAACGGCACCTTCCACGCGGGAGAGTGCAGAAAAGACCCCAGGAAGGAGCAGGGCGCCCTGAATTTGCTTGGAAAACGAGGCAGACAGTGACCAACCCCCCGGCCCCCAAATTTATGTCACCCCAAGGCGGGGCTCAAGCACCCGACGGAGGAGCGGGGGGGCAGGGAAAAAATATAAATACATAAGAGCGAGGAGGAGGCACCGTGGGGCCACGGAGGTGGAAGCGGAACCGAAAAGCCTTGGATAAAAGTTAAGCAGCGCTGGGAGCTCGGGCCCGCGCGCCCCTCCCTCTACGGCAGGTCGGGGGGGGGCTTGGCGGCCACCGCGGACTGAGGGGAGGTGGGGGAAGCGGACCCTCGGGCTGCTAGCGGCACACACACACGGCGGTGCCGCCGCCCCGTTACTGTGAGGCCGGATCTTGATGCTGGATCGTTCCGTAGCGGTACGGGATTCGACATCGCGCTGAGCAGGAGGAGGAGGAGAAGAGGAGGGGGAGGCAGGGAGGAGGAGGAGCGCGTGGGCGGCGCCGAGACTCAACCGGCGGCCCGCGCCACCCGCAATTCGGGCCCGCCGCGCTCCTCACGAATGCAGGGGGTCCCGCTCGCCGCGTGTCGGCGGCCGCCGGCAGGCTCGGTCACCTCAGCCCTGCGCTGCGGAGCCCCCGAGCCCTTCATGCCCCCGCAGCGCGCCGCCGACGGCCCGCCCGGCCCGGCCCGGCGCGCACACGGGCGGCACGACATCTGTTCCGCCCGAACGCCCCCGCGCAACGCCGGAGGGCCGTGACGTCAGCGCGCAACGGCGGCGCGCCGCGCAAGGGCCCATGATGGGAAGGTCGGGGAGGGAAGGTCGGGGTGATGCGCATGCGCCGGAAAGGGGTTGAGGGGAGCGCCCTGGCGGGGGAAAGGAGGAGAGAGGAGGTGGGATGGGGAATAATGGGGAATGGGGCGGGAACTGGGGCTGGGATGGACGGGAACGGGGAATAGAGCTGGAATGGGGGATAGAGTGCACGGGGCGGGGATGGGGAATGGGAGGGAAATAGGGGTGGTTTGGGGGAATGGGGGTGGACTAGGGAGGAATAGGGGTGGGATGGGGAAATATAGAGGGGATGGAATGGGGGAATTATGGGGGAATGGGGGTGGATTGAGGAGGAATAAGAGTGGGATGGGGAGGAATAGGGGAGAAATGGGGGAATAAGGCATATAGGGCTGGGACGGGAGGGAATGGGGGGAACGGGGGAATAGAGCTGGAATGGGGAGAATAGGGAGTAAGGGTGTGAATTTGGGGGAGTGAGGGTGCCTGGGAGTGGAACCAGGCATCAGAGCAGCAGCAGCAAGGGACAGCCCTGCCTAGCCATGGGAAAAGCCACATGGGATGCTCCACACAATCCAAAGTCAGGGTGGTCACACAGACCCAGCTCCGGTCTGTGTCTCCACTTACACTGAGGAAGCACCTTCCTCAGATTCGTTTTACCCAGTGAAATGTGACCATTCCCAGGTGCCACATCAGCCCTGTCAGCAGCAGGAGAGCACACACACAGCCCAGCCACCACCCTCAGCATCAATCCGCAGGCACAGAGGGTTTCTTTCAGGCTCTGTTTTCAGTTGCACATTTGGGCATTGCTTTAGTGTGGTTTTAAGGCCAGAGTGTTGGATTCAGGAAGCACTTTGCATTTCAGATCCTGGCATTTTAATATTAAAGAAGTGATACTCAGCTCTGGCACCCACAGCTGGGGCTGCACAGCTCCTCCCAGGGCACAGAGCATAGACTTTGCTACCAACTCCCTGTTCCCTGGGTGGCCTGCAGGAGAAACACATAAATCCTCTGATGAGCAGGGCCAGGGTGGAAGAAGAGTCTTAGCTTCCTGGAGAGGAGATTTTCCCCTTCAGATTAAGCTGCCTGTCACCTCACCTCCCACTGCAGCTGAGGAAGTAAAGCCCTGAGCCCACCCAGGGTCATTTTGAAGAACCAAAGCCAGGAGGGAAAATTGCCCCCTCATCTCACACTGAGCAAAGCCTTTGAGATGCTTCAAGCCCTGTCCACCAACACTGCAGGGATGGAGCAGTGTCCAGCAGCTTGTTGTGAACCCACAGCACAGAACCTTTGGACTCAAGAGCCACATCAACTCCATCCTCAGCTTCTGCTCACAGACCACAGCTGGAGGGCTTGGAGAGAGGAAGGACAAGGGGCACTGAATACAATGGAAACCTGAAATATGGGGCCTCAGAATTAAAGGGCTCAGGTCTGTGGGTCAGACTGGTGGATGGCACCAGGGGAGCTGCAGCAGAAGTGAATCGTTCCTACTGCACCATCTGCCTCTGACAGCTTTCCTTCCAAAGGACCAGCATTTACTCAGCATCCAGGCTCTGATGCCTCTGTGGGCAAGTGAAGCGACACACAGCAAGGACAGTGACCCACCTTCCCCTGGCTGAGTTCCTTCTCTGCCAAAAGCATCTCCTCTTCTAGAGGTGATGGTGTCTGCAGAAGGGTGAAACCCTTCTCAGAGCTATTTCAGCTACTCCGAGTCAAGCCTAGAAGTTTCAGGACAAGGATTTGGTGGCAAGATGCTGCTCTCCAGCAGCTTTATGTACTTAGAAGACAGTTCCCACCCAGAAAACATGCCCAGGAGCTCCAACACATTTCTGCAAGGCCTTCAGATGCTACTGGAAAAAAACAGGCCATGTCATTTGCAGCAGCACCTTAAAAGTGGGGAGAAAATAATCAAAGGCGAGAGGTACAAAGCCAGAAGTGCAATTTATTGACAAGTTTCAGAAGTAAAAAGACTCAGCATCTCTGCTCCTCATGAACTGGATGTCTGAGCTCTTTCAAAGCACCTTCACCCACCAGCTCAGAGCTGTGTCATGCTTTCATCTTCAGAAGTTGAAGTCTTGCTTCTCCACTGAGAAATCATACAGCCCATCTTGGCCAGTCTGAGGCTCCAGGTCTGAGTTTTCCTGTGAGGAAAGTGATATCAATCAGTTATAGGGTCTGCATCTGAATAAACCTAAGTTTTTTTTACAGCAACTTATTGTTTTATTTTTCTTTTAAAGAGAGCTTCTTACAGCAGCTGAATAACAGAGCCCTGGGAGACCAGACCCAAGTGCTCCTGTTCCTGACAGCACACTGAAGCTGCAGTGTCCCACACACAAAGGCAGCCAAGCCTATGGGCTGAGACACCAAAAGAGAAGAAAAAAAGAGTGGCTGCAGTGGCAGAACTCACTCAAATTTAAGTGGAACAGCAACAAACCAGGACTGCTTAGGAGAGATGTTCCCCCTGGCATTCAGCCCCTCAGAAAGGTGCTGGTATTTGGGAGAGCTTCCCCCACAGTCCCTCAACAGGGACATCCCACAGACCCTGCTCTGGGTAAAGGACTAAACCAGGCATTTGCTCCCTGCTGCAATCACATCCAGGCTGAGCCTCAGCTCCAAGATATGCCAGACCTTTAAGCCTCTTCCCTGATGTTTTCCCATCTGCAAGACTAAGGCTGGGACCAAGCATGGCATCTGTGACAGTCACTGGACTCCTGCAGCTCCTAGCTGGTGTCCCAGCCTCTTTTTCCACAGATTCATTACCATGAGAAGGGTCAAGTAATCCAAATGCAACCTGAGCACTGTTATCAGCAGAGTAGGAGGCTTCCATTCATAGTGACAAGCCAGCTCAGCTCCAAAGGAGGAAACTTCTCCACATTTGGTATTCATATCAGCAACTGCAGTAACTCCAGCTGATGGCAGTTTAAATTCCAGCAGCAAGATGCTATCAAGGCACCCATGTCTGTTGTGCAACTCACAACAACTTGGAGCTTTCACAGACCTTTAGAAGCAGCTGAAAGAAGCTGCAAGGACTACTCCAGCCATGTGGAGGTCTCCTCCAAAAGCCTATTTCAGTATCCTGTTCTTCATTCCAGTGCATAACAGCTTCATATTTTCAGCTGAGAAACAGCAAAGGGTCACATACTTCACCAGAGAAGTATTTCTCTATGATGTTCAGGGCAGCTCTGTAGACTATGTTGTTCTCATGGTTTTGCAAGTCTTCAATTTTCTCCACACCATTGAGCTCCTCCAGCAGCAGACACAACTTCTCTGTCTGTCCCAGCTTCTCAGCTGCCTGTAACATCAGGAAACCAAGCAGGAAAATAGAACATTGCATCAGTAACAGGTCTGAGATGGTCTTTACTGTAATCACAACCCTGATCTACAAGTCAAAAGGATCACAGTCCCTGAATTTACAGTCCCTACCTGATGCCAGGGATATGGCTGTGGTGCCTATGGAACACCAGTCCCCGCTGGGACAACTGCAGTGGCTTGAGTGCCAACCAAACCAGCTGGCAGGAGGTGAGGAGGGAACTTTAATCTTGTCAAGCCCTTGGGACAACCCAAGAACATCCAAGAACAAGCTAGACAACGTGAAAACTATCTCTTACTCCAAAAATCAACAGCCACTGTTCTAACCACGCCATGTGAGCACTTGGCTCACTCCTTGCTGCTCTTTTGGGGAAGGAATTCAAGAGATAAGAGGTCTTACCAGGAAGAGATTTGAAATAGTATCCAGGATGATCAGGATAGTTTTGCTGTCCTTGGCTGAGAGCAGGTTGAGCAGAGGTTTGAGGACCCCAGAACGGACGAGCTCCACCACCTGATCCACTGTTCCTCCAGTTGTGATGTTGGCCACTACCCACACACCCTCCTTCTGAGCCTTGAAGTCACCCTGGAAAAGCAGCACAAGGAAGGCATTCCCAAGCTTTATCATCCCTCCAGGATCAGTGTGAGGTGAGAATAGTCCTTTCCCTTGTACTCAGCTTGGACTGACCCCCCCTTTCCCAGCCCTTCGAGGACACCCGGCAGAGCTACCAAGAGCAGCTCCAGGACACGTTTCCATGCAGGTGTACTGACAAGTCTGAATGCCCAGGCTGTTCCAAGGATCCCAACAGCTCTGTAACAGCCTGTTCAGGTGGCTCTTGGGGCAGAGTCCTTCACGAGTGAGGCACCACAGACCTCAGGAACCTCAGCAGAACTTCCCCTTCTCTTACCTTGTCGAGCAGCTCCACCAAGGGCGGCAGTAACCCACAGGTGATGAGCTGTTGGATCTGCTGGGAAGACCCCGCTGCAATGTTACTGAGCATCCACGCTGCTTCCTTCTGGATCCCTGGCCTCGAGTGCCGCAGGAGACGGGGCAGGACAGCCAGGACACCGGCATCGATGGCTGCCTGGGTCTGCTGGTCCGTCCCTGTGACCACATTCCCAGTGGCACGCAGAGCTGGAGTCTAGACGGGGATTAAAGGAGATGAGAAGAGGCCTTACCTCAAGGGATACATGTCAGAAAGTCCAGCAAGATCCCTCACTAAGTGCTTGATCCCTCAAACAAGGAGAGCATTGTGGGTGAGTGCTGCTTATTTACAGACCTGTTGCCCTCCTGTTTGCTCTAAGCAGCTTTGGAGTCTCTATCCAGCCTCCAGCCACAGCAAGCTGGAGCAGAGCAGTGGCCTGACAGCCCTGCAGGCTGAGGGGACAGCAGACCACAGGTGCCACAGAATAAGGAGATGTGCCTTCCTTCCCCTCAGATGTTTATACATTAAAGGGACCATGGAGATTGCTGATTGTTCCCTACCATAACCATCACATTCATGCTGGCCAGGAGTTCCACCAGCCTGGGGAGAACCCCCATGTCCACCACGATTTGGATGCGGTCGTTGGAGCTGTCGGTCAGGTAGCAAAGAGCCCAGCAGCAGTCAGTGATGATTTCCTTGTCCTCGTGCTGTATGAGGCAGATGAGGACAGGCAGTATCTTGTGCACTGCATCCAGGGGAGGGTAGGGGTTCTTGTTCCTGCAGAGGTTGGACAGTGTCCAGGTGATGTTCCTCAGGAAGCCAACCTGAAACACAAGGGAGGTGTAAGATCCTCACTGCCCCCGAGAGCTTCTCAGTCCACCTGATGCCACCCTGTGAAGGTCCTTCTCCCCCAGAGACAGAAAGCAGTGGGACAGGCACCATTGCAGAAGGGCAGGGATAAGCCATCAATCCAGCAGTTTAGAGCTACCCAAATAGCAGCAGAAGGAAGCTTGAAGGGCAAGTTCAGCCCTTCCATATGCATATGCAAGTCTGCCTTGCACTAGTTTCATCTTATTCCTGGGCTGAGATAGTCAAAGCTGGATAAAAAAGCCAAGACTGAAAGGTATCACATTGACTTGGAGACTGTCTGCTTGGCATCCCCAGCTTTGTGCATAGGCAGGGCCATAAAAGCAGTTTAGAGCAGGGTCTCATTCAATTATACAATTGTTAGCTGTTGTGTTTAACACAGATGACAGACCATCATTCCCCCATCACCCAAGTGATTAAGAGCTGTTAAGGCAAGAAAATGAAGGTTATTTACTGGAGTTACAGGTGACACCAGAGCCAGCAAGGGAGGAATCACATCATGATTGATAAGAACATCTCTGTAGAGAGGACCATCCCCTGTACAGGTAAAGGGTTGGTTATTGCATCTCCCCAAGTCACAAGATAGTCAACATCAAAAAGCAATCAGACCTGCAGGGCCAGGGCTGGGTGACCAGGCTCTCCCACCAGCCACACACCATTAGGCATTTCCAGGTGGGAAGGATTTACTGGGCAGGCTGGAGTGCCAGCAGGGCTGGGTGGTGGCAGCCTAACCAGACACAACCCATTCTATTCTCCCTGCTGACAACATTAGGGGGTTAAACCATCCCAGCAGGATGGAGTCCTGTCCTTGGCTTTGGCCAAAATCCTCTTGCAGAGCCCACACAGGATCTCAAGGGCTGCCAGGCCACACCAAGGGGCTGAAGGGTCAAGGGGTTCAATAGGGGCATCAGCTTGGACACAAAGCTGCAGGGAGAGAGGGCTATGGTGAGGGGCAACAATATTTTATCTGTCCAACACTGGCTTGGTCAGTGACCCTCTGTGTGCCCCCACACCTCTCCTCACCTGCAAGGTTGCCCAGAGCCCACACTGCCTGCTCACTGATGTGCATGTGTGGGGAGGACAGGAGGGAGATGAGGGCTGGGATGGCACCTCCATCCACCACGGCCCTGGCGTGCTCCGAGGTGCCAGAGGCAACGTTAGTCAGTACCCAGGCTGCCTCAAACTGCAGGGCAGCATTCCCAGCACGGCCCAGGAATTCCACCATCCTGGGGATGATCCCCAGCTGGATGATCTGAGTGATGGGGGGGTCCTTCTGCCTTGACAGCATTTTCCTGCAAGAGGACACAGCACAGCCTGCCATGAGAAACCCTGTGTGGGGCCACCACAGCCCATAAACAGGTACCAGGTTGTGGCTTGCAGGGGAAGCATCACCTGCAAGAGATGACAGTTCAGCACCCCACTCCAGCAAACCTCAGCAGAGGGGTTGCCACAGAGAGGGAAGACACAGCTAAAGATGCTGAAGCAACAGCAGGGTCTCTGTTGGAGTGCAATACCTCACACATCCTTTCAGGACCATGATAATATTCCATGCCCCCTACCTTGCAGGAGTTTGAGACTGTGATAAAAATATATGCCATGTGTTCTCTTCCAGCCTGGCTTTGCCACTCCTGGGGTCAGGAGCACTGGCCAGCCCTGCACAGACCAGAGCTCAAACAGCTGGTTTTCCAGCTTAAAGACAAACATGTAATCTCTCCTGGACCCTCAGGAGTCATCCCTGCTTGCTGCCAGTTGGGTGATGGTGACACCCTGTAACCCTTCCTACAGCCACCGCAGTGGGGACAGTCCCACTCAGCACTGACCCTTACAGAGCCAGGCTCTCCATTCCTTGGCCTGGAGGATTTGCTCTTGATTTCCTGCAGGATCCAATGTGATCCCTGGCACAGCACAGGCACAGCAAGGGGGGCAGCACCAGGAGCCACAGCAAACCCCTCAGCTGGGTTCAACCCCACAAGTCCATGCTACAAGCACTGCCCGAGACTGTGACAGAGAAAAGCATGGAACACAGGGCACACAACAGGCACCAGCTGAGGTTCCCCAGAGCAGTTTGGGTTACCAGGCTCCTTCCCTCTTTGCCATCTTTCTAGAGAGCTCCTCAAACAGGAATAAATGCCTTTTGCCACCAGGACCCACCACAGCTCCATGAGCCACCTCCCTCATGGCCCAGGCAGCCAGGCACATACCTGGTGGCCTGTGTGGCCAGCAGCTGCAGCTTGGGGTTGTTCCCATTGATGCCTTCCACGATCTCCTCCAAGGACAGCTGAATAATCTGTGTCACAGGGAATGATTCACAGTCAGACGGGGAGCCGGGACTCCCTCTGGTTTAATCTCTGCAGTCAATCAGCTGTCTAGACCCGAGTCAGTCACCACTTCATATCTAAGCACTGTCTATTCTTTATGCAACACAGTTTCGAGATGAGGCAGAGAATCCACAAAAGCCTTCAAGGCAACTAATGCTTATAATCAAGCACTGAAAGAGTCCCTGACACACCATAATGGGCCTTCGAGCTCAGTAATTACCCCTCGCTGTGCAGGGAGCCAGACAGGAGCTGTGCCAGCTCCCAGGGAGCCAGAGCACCAGCCTGTTCTACCTGCCATCAAGGGAGGCCAACAGGACATCATCTCCATGAAAAATAGCAAAGGCAGAGGCCAGGCAGTCTGAAACACTCCCCAGCACTGGGCATGGCAATCAGGAATGGCACCAGATACTCAACCCAGGTCACACCGGCTGGACTTGGTAGTGGTCTAAGTAGGGGATGATAACTACTGCACTGATCCTGCCCAGGTGCAGAGGACCCAGCACTCACCTCATGTGTCCCGTTTTGTCCTGGAGGGACATTCTCATCCTTCACAGGAAGGGACACATTTCTGCGCTTCAGGATCTGCTCATCCTTCTTGGCCTTCCTCAGCATAACGCTCATCTCCACCCTCTGCATCCGCAGGGCCTGGAGGGGAGAGGGGCACCATCCCAACAGTCTGCATCACCCCATTCCCCAGGGAGTTCATCTGTGCAACCTTCTGCCCCACGTTTCCCACAGGAGGAGTGCAGAGAGCCAGCATCTCCTCACTGTGGCCTGGAGAGTGATGTAGGAGATGGGGCAGAGTAAACCTCTCCCTCAGTGCCTCCCAAGGACATGAACTGCTGGATGAACCGACAACCAGTGGGGGTTTTTAAAACTAAATTTGCTGAACTTGAAAGGCAAACCCTCATCTCCTCTACTGGCTTAAAGCAAGCTGACAGATCCCATGGTCTGACAACCCATACCAGCCCCCGCTCTGCAGGGATAACTGCTGCAGAGAGCTCAGCAGGCGGGGGCTGAGCCACCCCCTTCCCCAGCCCAGAGTCACCCACATCCCCCCTGCCTGTGTCACCACACTCCCTGCAGCCCAGCCAGCTCCACATCACATCTCAAAAGCCACCTGAGCATCCCAGTTGGCAGAGCCATCCCCCTGCTCCCCCTTTGCTACCCCATACAGGTAGATTTGAGAGCCATGGGCCTTCACGAGAGTCTCCACCTGTTGGAAAGGGGAACAGGCAAACCCCAGTGGGCTCTGCCGTGGCCCAAAGGTGCTGGCACAGGCAGGTGGGTACTCACAGCTGCATCCTTGCCCTTGTTCTTGAACTTCCTCATGCGCTGCTCCTGCTTCCCAACCTCCATCTCAGCAGGGTTGAAAGAGGTGCCAGCTGAACGTCTTCACTTGCTCTTGGGCTTCAGGACAGAGCAGGGTCAGGTCACAACTGCCCAGCAGCATCCACTGCCATCCACAGAGGGGGCTGGGACCCCCCCTCCCACCAGCAGCCTGTGCCACACATTTCCATGCCACACTCCCACCGAGGGAGATGCTGCAGGTCCCGGTAGGATCCTCACACACTGCAGCTGAGCCACTGAACTAAATACAGGCACAAACTACCACTTAATATCAGGCTACAAAAATTACAGCTGATGCTGTAATCCCATGAGGAAGCCAGACACAGGCTTCCTGTGGTTACAGAAACACCACCTTCCTCTGGCTCTGATCCTGGGCCTTTTAGTCTTACTTTGACACACAGCCCAAGCCTAGTAGAGCCTCTTACCTCCAGAAAGATCAGCTCAAGGACTGATTTAAGGACACAGCCACATCCAAGCTTCTCACCCCACCACACAGCCCAACCTGGCCTCCTACATCAGCACCCTAAAGTAAGGAAGACCCACAGTCACATGCAGAGGCATAAAGTGACCAAGTTCAACTGAGGAAGGAGTTCTGGAAATGCAGCAGCTAGTGCAGATTACCAGGTGAGCAACATTAAATAGGGACAGGTGAAAGTCCTTTCTAAGCCCCTCCTAATAAAAGCCACAGACAAAACATGAGCTGGCCTTCAGACAGCTTCTGTCAGAAAAAACAAGGCTTCCACCCAGGAGAAATGGAGATGTTTTCAGACACCATCACAGGACCCCTAAACCCAGGCTGTGCATCAACACACTCAGGGACTGATCATACACAGATGGTGCCTCCTCACCTTCCCTCCAGGCTCACAGCCAACAACTGCAGCTCAGACCAGCCTCCAAGAGCTCCCTCACACCTCATTCTAAGTTTAAGTTTTTGGTGTTTGTTGTTTTTTTTTTTTTTTTCAGTCCTCTCTCTTTCCTGTCCCAGCAACTAAGGCTGGGATGCAGCTCTTTATTCCAGTTACTCAGCTGCACAACCTCCCCAGCTCACAGAGGGGCCAGGATGAGCCACTACTTGGCTCAAACCAACCCACACCCCCCCCCCCAGCCTTAACCCTGCTCCAGCCTCCCTTCCTCTGTTTCCAGAACAGAACAGCAACACCCCAAAAAGCCTCTTCTTTTGGAGGAGCTTTCTCCACCCCCATCTCAGCAGAAGAGCAGCACAACCCACCCACTGACACCAGCCAAGCAGGAGACCCAGCACAGCCCCAAACAGCCAGGAGAGTCCAACTAGCAGCCCCATCTCAGGGCACAAAGGAATAAACAACCACCCACTCCACAAGGAGGAAAAGCACTTACCACAACTCACTCTCATGCCCCACCACCCTTCAACTGCCTCTTTTATTGCCCCTGTGGAGCCACGTCCCCCCCAGCTCCTCTCCAGGATTGGCTCTTCCAGGACAGCCCCTGTTATCTCCACCTGCTCCCTCATCATGGCCACCAGGATGCACCTGGAGGAGGATGGATGCTGATGGCTGCCCTGGGCTACCACTTACCCCCCAAGACCTCCTCCATACATTTATGCTTTGCCCACTTTGGCCTTGTTTTTGACCAGACCCTTGGTGGGTGATGCCAGCCTGTACCTGTGCAATGTCCTGTGACACTGGAGGCAGTCTGGGCGCTGCCACCCCATCGCTGTGCAAGGCACAGGCAGTCTGGGGATGCCCCTTTTTTTGTCTGGGTAGCTTGTGGGTGGTGCTGCAGGCCAGGAGAGCAACATCCTTCAGTTAGCAGGGCCCAGGACCACAGAGCCAAGGGGCAGCTGAGGGGAACAGGCTGCAGAGGTTGCAAATGAGCCAAGACAGGATTAAGAAACTTGGAGCATCATCAGGTGCTGAGCTGCTGGCTGGCACAGGCAGAAGGTGGCAAGGAGAGAAACCAAGCAGGAACCCTTTGTCTTCATGAGTCCTTTAGATTTTGGCCAGGAGCTGCTGGGCAGCTCATGTCGTGCTGCGTTCTGTGCCCGTCGCAGTCTCCAACAGTCAAGAGATTGTTTGCATTTCACAGAAAATGCTGAATTGGAAGAGATCCACAAGGATCCACAGGGATCATCCAGTCCAACCCCCAGTCCTGCACAGGACCGTCCCCAAGAGTCACACCCTGTGCCCCAGAGCCCCAGACACCCCTTGAGCTCTGTCAGCCTTGGTGCTGTGCCCACTGCCCTGGGGAGCCTGGTCAGTGCCCAACCAGCCTCTGGGGGAAGAACTGTTTCCTGAGATCCAACCTGAGCCTGCCCTGACACAACTCCAGGTCATTCCCTGGGTCCTGTCCCTGGTCCCCCCAGAGCAGAGCTCAGGGCCTGCCCCTCCTCTGCCCCTGCCCAGGAAGTTGCAACTGCAGTGAGGTCTTCCCTCAAGTCTCCTCTTCCCCAGCTGAACACACCAAGTGCCCTCAGTGTCCTCACATGGCTTCAAATCAAGGCACTTCTCCATCCTCATTGCCCTCCTTTGGACACCCTCTAATGGCTTCACATCTTCCTCATATTATGGTGTCCAAGACTGCCACAATATTCAAGGTGAGGCTGCACCAGCTCGGAGTGGAACCACTGCAGGGCCAAGCAGGGTTTGTTTGCACCACTGCAGGCAGTTTTGGGGATCTGAGGTGTTGAAGGCACCCTGGATCTGCACACCCTCTACTCCATCTCCCATTTAACACAGCCCCGTGAAACCCACCCCGTCCAGCTCCCTGTGTGCAGAGGTGCCAGCCTGGTCCAGCGGGCAGGGAAGGGAGGAGCAGTGCTTCCCAAGTGGGTAGGGAAAACAGCTATTACAATATTTAATTAAAACCTAATTTTAAACTACTTGACATCCTCTTTCTGCGAGGGTGGTGGGGAGCACAGAAATCCCGAGCTGCAGGAAGGTGGGAGCGAGGTGGGAACAGCACCCACCATGGGGGTCTGCACCCCTGGACCCCCACACCCTGCAGCCATGTACACAGAGCCATTTCAGAGCAATTTACAGCAGTTCAGGGAACAACTAGTTCACTGTGTGGTTATTTCCAGCATGGAAATACCTATGGAGACAGTGCAACACCCAGGCTGCTTTAAGTCGTGGATTCAAATCCTGGGGGGTCACACCAATTCGGCATTTCAAGGCAAATAAAAAGAGTTGTAGCAAGCTTTGTGTGGAAGGTGATGGGGGGAGGTTTGAGAAAAGACCTTCAGACAAATCTGTGGTTTGGAGGCGTTAAAAAGCCAGTTGTGCTAATCCTGGCTGCTGTGTTTTTAAGCTTCAAGTGCCACCGGTTGCATTATCTTGTTTCTTGGCTGCTTGAGACAGGAAAATTACATTTCAATTGCTTTTTAATTCAGCTTAATCTGGTGCAAAAGTTAGCGTGCACCCTCTAATTTTGTTTTCTGAGCAGTTTGTTTCCACTAATTCCTAATCAGCCAAGACTAAATCAAAACAGGCCTGGCTCAAGCTGAAATAGATGAGTCCTTGCAATTTTGCCAAGCAATTTAATTAAATTGGCTTAAAATCACCCCCCCAAGATCAGTGGGGGCAGCCTCCTACACAGTCCAGCCCCTAGCTTTTGGTCCCCTGCCTGGAGAGCTGTCTCCCAAGGTGCTGCAGGGTGTGAATGTGGAACAAGGCTGTGAGAGGTTCATCCTTATCCTGGGCTGCTCTTTTTCTCCCCACTCCTTCCATTCCCTCTCCACCTGCCAAGCACAATCAGCCCCATCCTGTTCAGTTCTCTGTCACTGCCAGCACAAGGAGGGAGAGGATGGGGAGAGAAAACCCACGTGTCAGTGGATGAACATCCCCCTCCCTGTCCCTGATGGCATGAGAGGTGGCACTGCCACCCACGAGCAGGCTGAGGGTGAGGGGGGGGATCTGAACCCGTGCTGAGGACACAGGCAGATCGATATTTGGGAAAGGGAACAACCACTGGGGGGAAAAAAGTTTTGCTTTGCAGCATAATAAGAAGGTTTCACAGCTAATGGAGAGCAAAGGAGATAAAACCCTAAATCTAAATGACAATGTCCCCTGAGCTCAGCCTAGTGTGCTCAAGCTGAAAATCCACATCATGACAGGTATGAAAAGCTGTGGTTCTAGTTCAGAGGGGTTCTTTTGACGCTGTTCTCCCACACCCTACCACCCTTCACCCCACCACTGCACCCTGGTGAGGCTCTGCCTGGGGCAGACTTGAAAACACCCGTTTTAAGCCCAGAGAGAAAAACCCTGATTTTCCGTCCTCTGCTTTTTTTCATGTTTCTTGAATAGGTTCACCCTCACTGCCTGCAGAAAAGATGCCAGTCAGGAAAGGTGGCATCGGTGTGTGACATCTCTGTGGCAGGGTGAGACAAGGCAGGAACATCCTGCCAGGATCCACTGTGGGATGCTGCACGGGCACAGCAGCTGGTTGGAGCAGCCCCTCCGTGAGAGGAGAACCTCAGCTGGTGGACAGGGAGCAGAGGGAGGGATCCCTGCGAGCCCCCAAACTTCTGCTCTCACACAGCGTCTTCTCCGTCAGCAGTAATGTAGTTCCATTAAATTAACACCAACAAATTATTTTTACCTATTAGTTACAGTAACAGCGAGGAAATATCCATGTGGGCTCCTGAAACAGCTGATGATGTAACTGCTGGTGGTTTATAGGATCATCCTGAGTTGGAAGGGACCCACAGTCCAACTCGTGGCCCTGCATGGGACACCCCCTGTCCTGTCCAAACACTCTGGCAGCCTTGGGGCCGTGCCCACTGCCCCGGGGAGCCTGTTCAGTGCCCAACCACCCTCTGGGGGAAGAACCTTTTCCTAATATCCAACCTAACCCTCCCGACACAGCTTCATGCCTTCACGGATGTGGGGCACTCCCACGTGTGGCGGGGATGGGGCCTGGAAATTCCTCCTTTTTCAGTTGGGATCTACCCTCCTGGCACACAGTGCCAAGTCCACAGCCTGCACCGGTCCCTCCTGGAGCAGCAGACACCAGGCAGCCCGTGCCCTCCCCACGGCCAGGAATCAGCTCCGTGTCGGTGCTGCTGTTGGAGCAGGGGCCGTGGGCGGGGGCTGGGATGTGGGAGCTGCTTTGTGCTTTGTCACAGGGTGAGTGACAGCCCCGGGCCGTCACAGTCGGTCTAATCAGGACATGCAGAAGGTGCGAGAAGGGATTTATTGTTATCCCTGCCTTACTGCTGAGCCAGAGGCAAAGCCAAGCACTGCAGCTGGATTTTCTGAGGCTCAAGGTGCAGCTTGTTGTTTCCTCTAATTTCGTGTAGCAGCCTCAAAAATGAGGTCCTGCTTTTCTCCTCCTCTGGTTTTCTCCCACTCCCCTGATTTTCTCCCCCTGCTCCTCTGCAGCTGGGGAGCCATGGAGATGTCAGTTCACTGAATCATACAGAATCACAGAATGGTTTGGGTTGGAAGGGACCTTAAAAGACCAACCAGTTCCACCCCCTGCCATGGGCAGGGACACCTTCCACTAGACCAGGTTGTTCCAAGCCCCATCCAACCTGGCCTTGGACACTTCCAAGGATGGGGCAGCCACAGCTTCTCTGGGCAACCTGTGCCATTGTCTCAGCACCCTCAAAGGGAGGAATTTCTCCCCAACATCCCATCTAATCCCATCCTCTGTCAGTGGGAAGCCATTCCCCCTTGTCCTGTCACTCCATGCCCCTATCCAAAGTCCCTCTCCAGCTCTCTTGGAGCCCCTTTAGGCACTGGAAGGGGCTCTAAGGTGTCCCCAGAGCCTTCTGTTCTCCAGGCTGAAAATCCCCCAGCTCTCCCAGCCTGCCTCCACAGGATAGAAAAGAATGAGGAAGAAAAAGAGGATGAGGAGGAAAGAAGTACCGTTTTCCATCAGTTTGGTTGAAACAGCTCCTGCTGTGGCCATGGGACCAACTCTGGTGCTTTTCAAGGCAAAGCGTTCTTCAGTGCCTTTTTCCAGCCAAGAAGGGGGATCACTCTGAGATGTAGGTGATGAAAAACAAAAAGAGTCACATTGATATTGTACAGAAGAGATCTATATTTATTGATAAGGAAGCCTGGAAGAGTTGGGAATTCCCTGGGAACTAAGGCAAAGGGAATGTCTGTGCAGGAAGACAGTAGTGTAACACCAACTGATTATCCCATCAGCTGGGCTAGAGTCGGTGGGAGCCTCAGGAAGGAGAACAGCAGCAGGGCTGAGTGTGAGCTGTGGGAGCTCATTCCCACTGTCCAAAGGCAGCTGTTAATGTCCATTTGGCTGTGCTGTAAGCGGATGCCCCAGAAAACCAGGACAGCCCTGGAGTGCCTGTAACTCCACACCAGGCTGAACGTTAAGGAACTAATTTTAACTTCTAAGCATCCTCCTTTCTGCCAGCCACGAAGGGATTAGAGTAACAGTTTTTGAAATTACTTAAAAATAACATCAGACTTAATCATAGCTATTTATTAAATCCATTATCCTCTGTCAGTTATGGGACACTGATTCAGCTGTGGAAACTATAATCACCTGTGGCCAAAAACCTCACTTTTTTTTTTTTCCTAAAGGGCCCCAGTAATAATTATTCTTTTAGTCCTTGAATCTGTAACTGAAGGAACTGAAACAGAGAAATCTATGGTGAATTTGGGGATGAGGCACAACAGTGATGGAGAAACCTTGGAATTATTCAAAAAACCCACATAATTTTGTATAAATCATGCATGGCCTTGCTCCACAGCACCTAGAAGGAAAAAGGCTCTCTAAAGGAGTGGAATACCTTGTAAATCATGCAGGGAAGAGAAACCCCATGAAAACACCAGAAAATCCACATAAATCATGGGGTCTTGAGCCTCTGGATGCCTCTTTGCTGTCAGGGAGTCCATGTGCAGCTTAATTAGACAAGGAGATGAGCTTTCCTGCTGCCAGACGGATGCTCACCTTGCTCCAGCACCCCTGATTATCACAGCTGAGGACAGCACTTCAACAGAAATTAGTGTCTTTGTTTAAAATGTGTATTTAGGGGCCTTCCTTTGAAAGCCATGCTCAGAAAATGCTAAAAAGAGGATTCGACATGCATATTCCACCTGATCATAGGAGCTGAAGATAATTTTTGCTAAGCCTGGAGGTGATGTTCATCTCTGAGCTGCTTCACATCTCACACACACAGACACTGTTTTGGTAGTGAGCTTCCCACTGACAGAGGGCAGGGTTAGATGGGGTACTGGGGAGAAATCCTTCCCTGTGAGGGTGGGGAGGCCCTGGCACAGGTTGCCCAGAGAAGCTGTGGCTGCCCCTGGATCCCTGGAAGTGTCCAAGGCCAGGTTGGACTGGGCTTGGAGCATCCTTGTCCAGTGGAAGGTGTCCCTGCCCATGGCAGGGGGTGGAACTGGTTGGTCTTTTAAGGTCCCTCCCAACCCAAACCATTCCATGACTCTGTGATTCTACAATTCCTTACACTGAGTGCTGTGATTGAAAATGTGAGCACTGAAAAGTTGGACACCAGGAAGGCAGACTTGAACTCTGCTTTCCTGTGTGTGTGCCCTTCCCTGTAGAGTTTTTGATCACATAATTGCACAGACTGGCTCCTGCTGGATCTGTGACTCACTGAGCACCTGGTGGGATTTGAAAGCCCCTGGCATTGTCCCCATCAGACCCTCTGTGCCTCACGAACAGCAATGTGCCCTTGTTTGGTTAGAGCCTGGTCCTGTCTCCGCACAGACAACACTCCCTCCAGCCCTCACAGGAATACACTGATCCTCCCCAAGCAAGAACAGACAACAGCTGAGAATGAGGATGCAGCTTTCATTATTTTTTAAATGACTAATAAATGCAAAAACATCTTGCTGTCTCCTGGGGCAGATCTTTATATAACCCTGTGATCCTTCAGCAGGGTTTTCCGATCCGGATTCCGTTCCTCCCCAGACCACCAGGGATCAGTTTGCTGCTGGTGCTGAAATGCAACCCTGAAATGCAGCATCCAAACTGAATTCCTTGTTATTCCAAGGCTTGCCACTTCAGCACAACGGCTGAGGCTCTACAGCAAGCCACCCCAAAAGTGGGTTTGTACCCCTCTTCCTCTCCTTGCCCTCCTCCAATTACAAGCTCCTTTTTTAATTGGGAATATCACTATGGACACCTGGGCTGCTGTGTTTAGCCTGGTATCCCTGGCAGCACTGAGGGAGAGACCAGAGCCTTTCTTACATGTGGTCTGTATTATATAGGGGGACATTCAGGATATATGGAGGAAATTCTTCCCTGTCCAGGTTGCCCAGAGAAGCTGTGGCTGCCCCATCCCTGGAAGTGTTCAAGGCCAGGTGGGATGGGGCTTGGAGCAACCTGGTCTAGTGGAAGGTGTCCCTGCCCAGGGCAGAGGGGTGGAACAAGATGAGCTTTAAGGTCCCTTCCAACCCAACCCATTCCGTGATTCTATATGGGCTGCTCTGCACCTTATCTGAAGACCATTTTCCAATCTGAATCATGGTTATGCTTCCCATCCCTTCAGGCAAGAGGGCTGGACTCTCAGTCTCACTTTAACATGATGAAGGAATCTGTGTCAGGGCAAGAAACTGAGCCCACACCAAAGGCAAACATCCTGCTCAGACAACTCCCTCCCGTGACCCGCTGTCTGCAGAGCTGCTGTGCGCTGCTATCGGGACACGTCACTCCACAATCTCTCCTTCATTCTCTGAGGGAACCTTCCAAAACCCCCTTCCCAGATAATATAATCTGTGGCTGGGTGAACCAGCTGCAGCCCAGCCCAGGCTGTTGCAGCAGGAGCTCCAGCGCAGTGATGTGCTGGAGCAGGCCAGGATGGGGCCTGGGCTCTGGAGACTGCAATGGCACACCATTAAACTCATCCAGAGGCATCCTAGGAAGCAGAAAGCAATTTGGCTGAGTCCTGGCTGTTGCTGATCTGTCCATGGGCTTAGTAAGCCAACAGCTATTTCAGGTTTGCCATTTTGCCCTGTCCCCCTTCATGGGGAGATCCGATTGCTGCCTTTGCAGCCCACGTGGTCAAAACATTGATTTACTCACATTACACATGAGCAAACAGGTCAGAACCCATTACTTATTTGATGCATTTCACGTCCTTCTCCAAGATGCTTGGCTGAGAACTGTTTACAATCTTCATTCACAGATTTAAGGTTTGAAATAATTACCTGAAAAAGCCCAGAAAATACGACTTGCTCCGCACAGATTCCTGAGGAGTTAATCACAGTTCCCAGCGTTCAGGACTCAGGCTGGTCATGGTTTCTGTGGTATTATTCTGCTCCTGACGGGACATGCTGAGTTCCTAGAATCAGATTTTCAGGGTGAATAGTCAGTTACAAATTCAAGAGGTGGGTGTAACACGAACTCTCTAATTTTCACCTCAAAGCAGTTGTTTATCTGAATCTTCCTGCTTGGAAACTCTATCCCAAGTGTATTCACCCACAACACCCACAATGGCAATACTGGCAGGGTAACCACATCCCAAACGCTCCAGCTGAGGCAAATATAGCAGGGAAATACCTAAAGCAGATACAGGAGCTGTTGTCTTTCATGTCTTTCAGGGCAGTTCATACCCACCAAGTAACCAAAACGCACAAGACGGTAACACAACAACAGCTTTATCCTCTCTGCTTGCAGCAAACACACAGAATTTGTTTGTCTTAAACATGACTTATTTTAAAATGAAACTTTAATTCCATCAGTAATGTGGCTGCTCCTGCCAAGGGTTCAGTCTGAGGTTTGCCTGCCAAAGATCAGCTCCGAGGAAATGTGCTGTTCCAGCCTGGCAAGAAGGACATGGCCAAAAAGGTGATTTTGAATGAAACTTTCTTTGTATTGTCTTTCTAATTCAGCCTCTTGTCCCTACTCTCCAGCAGCTGAGTTCATAGAACACCCTACAAGGCAAGAAGAAATCCCCACCAAACAAAGTATTATCTGACCTCTCTGGAGGGATCAAAGCTTCCCAATCAGGCTCCCAGCATCACTGGACTTACAGATAAGGAATGTGTGGTCTCTTTTAAGATGCAATTGCTGGCTCAGGCCCTTTGGATGGCTCTGACAGAGCCTGTCCAGCCCTTGCAAACACAATTCCAGGACCTTTGGTTTAACCTGGCAGGTACCTGCTGTGTGTGATGGCTGGGAAGAGGTGTGGGATGGAGAGCAGGAAGGGCCATGTGGCAGAAATGACAAGCAGAGGCCTGCTTGTGTATGTGGAACCCATCTGGATTTATATTCACTGTGTTTTATAACAGGTAGGCTTGAATTCACAGGTATTTTAACCATAAGTTTATTGAATCCCACGTGATTTTGTGGAATTTCAGAGTGTTAACTCACCCCCAGCTGTTGGCATGGCCTTACCCCTTCCTTGACCTTTGGGAATACATTCACGCCCAGCTTTTAAAAACATACACAGTCTCTGGGAACCTAAACAACACAACTGAAGGCTGCCTTCAGAGAAGCTGAGCACCAGTCACTCCTTCTGGCTTCAGACTGAAAGGCCAGAGCAAAACAGACTTTTTGTAGGTACTTTGAGTGCCAAAAAACAGGCTGACACTGAGTGAACAACTCTGAAGCTGTGAGTTGTCGTCACGCCCTGCCTCAGTTTCCCCAGCTTGGAAAGGACGGTGAGGCAAAAAGAATTGAAAGTTCCATAAAAACCTGCACCCAAGAAACTGTCTGATGCCAGGATGAACTATTTTGTCACCTGCATTCATCTTTTGTAGCTGTTTGGTTTAATGTTTTATAGCTCTGTTTCGGAGACCACGTCAGTCCTTGTGCTTGAGGGAGGTGACAGGTTAATTACAGACCTGAGCCAAGCCTCAAATATACATTGCAAATCCAGGCATCTAAACCCAGCCTGTCTACAGATTCAGCTGTGTAGACTGAGAGGGGAAATGATTGCTGAGCTGTTACTTTCCTTATCTCTGCCTGATCAAAGAGGAAATGGACACAGGACATTTCTCCTTCCTGCTTTCCGGGTGAAATTCATCCCAGAGCAGCAGATTGCAGCTGGCAGTGTTACACCAGGATCTTTTTGAGCCGTGAAACCAGTTTCCAAAGGTGCAGCACTGCTGCCTTGGAGTCCTTGCACACATATATTTTTAGACCATCAAGGTTTTCAGGAGGATGGTGGAGAAATGAGATCCCCAGAAGAACCAGTGCCATCAGTGCCTCCAACCAGTGCCAAGCTGACTTCAGCCCAAGCAGTGGCCTCTAAGCCAGGTTCTGGTGGCCAGAATTCCCCTTCCCAGCCCAGGGGCTTCTCCTCCTCTCCTCAGTGACTCCTGAGCAGGCTGTGAGTCACAAGCCTGGTGCTCAGCATCGCTTGGGGCTGCAGAGGTGGGACAGAGAGCAGCCCTCGCCTGGGCAGTGTGTCCAGCAAAGCCACAGCACAGCCCCTGCTCCCTTTAATCATGGGAGTGATGAAATCAGCTTCTCCTCTGCGGGGAGCAGCGAGTTGGGCAGGTAGGGCAGGTCCCCAGGAGGCACATCTTTGGGTGCTGGACACGCTGCTCACCAGCAGCAGCTTGGCTGTCGCCTTGACAACATTAGAGCTGGTTCAGATGTGTGGGTGGGGGAAGGAAAACTGCCTGGAGTGTGGGACACAGACTGCTCCCAACATGGAACAGGTCCCAAAAAATGCAAAGCCTTGGGACATGAGTCATGTCCTTGAACTCCCCTGCTCCCTCCCCTGGAATGGCTTTGCCACAGGTGTGCACTCAGGTTGTGACAAGGGAGAAACCACCGAGGGCCATGGGAAGTGGATGTGCCATGGGCTCTCCTGGTAGTTTTTGATGGCTGAGGACAGGAGCTGATGAACCAGGTCCTCCCTTTCAGTCTTCCAGTGTCAGCTCCTACCCAAGCCACTTTTCGCTGCCTGTCTGTCACTTGTTAAAGCAAATGGCAAACCACCAGAATGTTTGGGTTTTCTGCTTTTCTCTGCTCTCTCTTCAAATAAATTCCCTGCATTTCTTTTTCCCTGTTCATAAGACAGAGGGGGATCTTGATTTGTGGCTGCAATGAACCCACACTCACACAGAGCTCTGGGGGCTCGCAGGTGGTCTGGAAATGAGAATAAATAGCAGTGGGAGGACTAATCACAGTGTTGGCAGAGAGCATGGAGATTCCTGAGAGAGCAGCCTCAGGGATCCTGAGCCAGGTGGGGTTTCCCAGCACTTTATTTCCAGCAACCTGCAAAACCAAAATGTAGTAAAAAAGTGTTTTATCTGGGTAAAATATTGTGAAGATCAAGTTCTCCAAATAATAAAAGAGAAATAAGCACCAATGATCAGGTGCTTTTCTCATGATAGGAATGAGGAATGTTGTTTGGTATCAAATAGAAAGAATCCCTCCATGCTGATGGCAGCTTTTAAGACTGAGAGCAGTCTCCTCTCCTTTCTTTTTCTTTTTCTTTTTCTTTTTTTTTTCTTTTTCACCCCCCCTCCCGACTCCACTATGGGGGTCAGTAAAACAATTCTGAATTTAAAGACATAAATAGCAGCTACATTTGGCCTCGCAGCAAAAATCCTGTTATTCAAGCCTTGTGGGATTCCTTCGGTGGCTTCCTATTCCTCCTTCCAGCTTCCTCACCGCCAGACCTCTGGATTGTCAAGCCCCAGCCTGTCCCTCTGCGCCTGTTTCCTCCTCCTCAACTTCTCCCCCCAGGCTGTCCCTATCCCACACACATTCCTAGCCTGTCTTATGCTGCCCTCTATCCTTGGAATAACCTTCCTCCTCCTCCAAGCAATAAACCTCACTCCTCTCTCCCAGCTTTCTGCCTGCAGACCTCATCGTTGTCCAACCATTCCCCCGTGGGTCTCTCAATCCTGGAATATCCCAAAATCTCTTTTCTAGAAGAATGAAGGACTGAGCACAGCAATACAGTTTGCATTTGCTGTTCCTTCTTGGAACCGGGATTAGCCAGACTCCCGCCTGCCCCAAATCCACACGGCTGGACCCCTGTGGAGAGCCTTTGGCAGGGCTAAACCTGAATGGAATTGCTGCTCACAGCAGTAATTCGGCTTTTTGTGGGAGCTGACTGACAGAAAATGTATTTACTGGGTTGCTTTGGATGGTGAGAAGTCGTCGAGCTCAAGTCGTGCTCAAAGCCCAAGGCTTCAGTGTTGAGCATCCTGCTGGTGCTGACTTGTATCTGACTTTTGCAGGAATCCCTGGAAGATCAAGTCATCCAGGTGAATCCTCTGCTGGAGACCCTTAATGATGCTAAAACTAGGGGGAAGAACAATTCTTCCCATTTTTTAAGTACCAGCCCTTCACTGGTAAGTCACTGTAGATCATATAAAGATCTTCCCTCAAGAAAAAATACACCCAAAAAAATATCTTCACATGCTTCCTCAAGCAGCAAAGTTAATTTCTGTTTACTTCACATTTCCCACAAAGCATTATTGGTTCCCATTTTCTTGAACTGAGTTGGTCAGTCAGTTTTGTTTTGCCTTCCTATTTTTAGATGTCAGGTTTTTGTATGTCAAATAAAAAACCAGTTTTGATCAACCCCAAATCAATGTCCTTTCAACTGATCGCTGCTGAAGTGATTCGAAATGCAGGTTATTTTTAATTTTGCAGATCTTTTTTGCAGATTAATTTTGAAATTGTCAGTTTAAATGTAAAACATCGGGGTTTTCAACTGCACTCTCATTCCTGTTTCTGTGTGCTACATACTTCTGCCATATGCTGCAGAGAAAGGAGGATTTCTTTAAGCTCTAATACAGAATCCAAGAAGAAAGAGGGTTTTTTATAGATCTGATCTTTGAAAAGATTAAATTTCCTCTCACTGACTTGCAAATTTGCCCCTACAGGCAACGCTGTCTGTCCCTGATGAACGCGCAGAACCTCTCAGCTACTTTCTGTTTTCCTACAGATATTGCAATCTTGATTAACAGACTCATCTTTTATTTTCTCATCTAGGGCAAATTTATCTGAATTCACTGTGGTGGCACAGCCAAGCTGGCTGAGACTAACCCTGGGAGTTGTAAGTAAGCAGATAATTCTCTATATTAACTTTGCTTGGGGTTTTCTCTTGTGTTGAATGGACCCTGTTCTGATTAAATCAGACACGTGAAAATCTGAAATGAATTTTTGAACTGGAGGGATCTGCACTGCTGTAAATGAAACCAAACCCTGTCCCTTCTTCCACAGTGAAGTTACACAGTGTATTAGATGATGACAAATTTATTTCCTCTCTCTTTAGCTGCCCGTGAGACTCTGAGCACACATAAAGGGCACTGCACCTCCCCCAAAAGCTGTACACTTTTCATTCTACAATTATATTGCAACCATTACTAACACTCATCAGCACAAAACCATAATTGTCTTGCAACCAAGACCCCAAAAATAGCTCTCCAGGGAAGGTTCATT